TTTAATGTTTGCTGCTTTTTCTCTTCTTGACAGCTCTGCCAACATCTCTGTTTCAACACAATTTTTGGACTAATTACTACTTACAACAGTCACTAAAACACAGTAAAAAGTAGTGATGAAGTCAAAGAATCTGCAATCGCTATAAGTATGTATTTTTGTTAAAAACAATCAGATGATTTGAGTCAAAATCGATACGTTTCGACAGATTCTGACTCGTTAGGCCGACTAAAAGTAGCTTTTTTATGAGACGGGGGGTAACAATTTTGGACTAATTAGTAATTACAACAGTCACTAAAACATGTAAGAAAGATGTGGAGCCAAAGAATCTGCAATTGCTATAAGTATGTTTTTTTTTTTGTTAAAACAATCTGATTGTTATGTCCAAATCGACACATTTCGACATGTTGTAACTCGTTAGGCCGACTAACAATAGCTTTTGAATGAGACAGAGTAAAAAATTTTGGACCAAGTAATTAAACAGTCACTAAAACATGTAAAAAGTTGTGAAGCCAAAGAATCTGCAGTACTATAAGTATGTATTTTTGTTATCGACACGTTTCGACAGATTCTGACTCGTTAGACCGACTAACGATGGCTTTTATACGAGACAGAGTAAAGTGATTGCACGAACCGTATCGTGAGCCAACTCCTTGGCATCTAGCCGAGAAAGCCAAGGTCTCTCGTACGGTCATTTCACCGATATGCAGATCGTTTTGGCTAATGTATGCTGCTGTCCTTTGGGGCACAAATTCATTCATTTTATGCCCATTGTAAGTCACTCTTCCTGAACTCTGTGACATATTTAAAATCACATAAATTTCACACAATAAATAGAAAAATACGTTGAATGTAATCTGTATCATCCGTGTTTTTTAACTTCGCAAATCGCAAGCTATAGTATTTTTCTTCTTCTTTTTTTAATTTGTTAGTAAGATGCTAACATGAACTTCATCAACATTCGTAATTTGCAAATCTTGACCGTACTATCATCCGTAAAAATGGACATGTGTATGGTCAAATATGTAGACGAAGTCACAGCCTGCAGGTTATATGAATTATAAACGTTCATGAAGTTCAAATTGCATTTTACCGCGAAATATATTACTACGAGTTAAAAAAGTCAAAAAACACTTTGGAAAAAAAAAATAAAAATAAAATAAAGTTACCCTAATGATAGTAATAATCAAGAAATGAAATGGGTTTTATTTACTTTGAGAGTGGGATCAAGTTTCCCAGCCAAAGCCAGCAAAAGAGTTGATTTTCCAGAACTTGGAGGACCCAATAGCAAAGTCATCCTGCAAGGTTTTATTATTCCACTTACATCCTTAAGGATTGTGAAAGGCTTCTTTCTACTTGGGAGTATGTGAAGTGAGTTCAAAATCCCCTGACACCAAAAAATAAAAAATAAAAATAAATAAATAAATAAATAAATTCAAGAATATATACATAAATTGAAAAAAAATAATAATAAGTGATTGTAATTTAAAAATAAAAACTCTATCTTTTCTTTTTTTGTAATTTAAATTTGTTTACCTCTACCAAATTGATATTAAAGTTGACAAAAGTAGGCAAAGCCCTGCTTGCACTATAAGCCTCTGCACCAATATTTACATGCTCATACCTCACTTCAATAGTGGGAATATCAATTCCAACTCTGCAAAACTCAACAAAGTTAAGTTACAAACTCATTAACAATATCTATATTTTTAAATCTTTACTACATAAACAATACATAATAACATAGTAAGCTAAAAAAAAAAACACAAGCTTATAATACCTATCTATCCTATTCCTTAGCTTCAACAAGAACTTCTCATTATCGTCTTCCACCGTATTAACGAGCCTCTCGACCAAAGCCCGTTTCTTGTGAAAATCGAGGTCTTGAATGTCGATCTCTCCCGGGCCTTTCGACCCGAAAAGAAGCCCTTTTCGGAGTCGGTCGAAAGTCGGGAGTTTTTCGAGGGCAGCCCATTTTAAGGCCTCCTCGTCGTCTTCTTCGCGAGACGATCTCGAGAAAACCTCAATGCCTGTGTGCCTCCATAGATTTGAGCTGTTACCCCTAAAGCTTTCACCTTTTTTGCTGTTTGATCTTAGGCTTTCACCTAAATCCATTTCTTTTTTTTTTATGTAAGGAAGAAAATATAGTTGTTCTTGTTTTGTGCTAATTTGCCATGGATGGTGGGTTGTGTTTAATCTATTATGTTTATATAGATGTGAGTGATTAATTCAATGTGAACTTGAGTTTTTTAACTTGGTATTTTTTATTTTATTTATTTATTTATTTATTTTTCCTTCCAAGAGGTACATTAATATATAGGATTTTACTATCTTGTATACAAGTAAAAGTCAAACATCCTAACCATAATTTATAATTGAAAAATAATGTTGTACATGGAAATGCTACATTCTCGTTACGGAACCATTCCGTCGAGATATGTAACCGTTAGATCAACTATCCACGATGGTTACATTATGGTCTAACGGTTACAAATCTCGACGGAATGGTTCCGTAACGGCTTTGTTGTATGATCTTTTGTACACATGTAACTAGCATCAATTGTGTAATTCATATTTCAATTTTCACATATTTATGTATAACAATAGTCTATATTTATTGTTATGAAATGCCATATTATTATGTATATTATTTTTTTTTTTAAAGTATGCATTGTATATGGCATAAAAATAAAATTTTGTATAATTAATATATGTACACAATATTTAAATGAAATAAATTCTTCAAAGATGCATTTTCTTTTCACAATATTTAAGGAATTCTTTGTGTTGTCCACCAATTTTGACTCTTGAATTGATTTAACTGAAAAATATTAGTAAAATTTAAAATTCTTTTTTAAGGTTGCCGTGTGAAAACCGTTTTTATCGTGAATAAAAAAAACATTGGCTTGCATGCTTTTCAAAATTGATGTACTGTCAACTTTTGTTTAATTAAGGAATCAAATTTTATAGTAATTACTAATTAGTACTAATCATTACAATATTATTAATTATACTTTTATTCAATTATTTGTTTATCAAATTGGTTTGATAATTTTGATTGGATGTCCTAGAGTTTTTTTTTTTCGAAATGATAGAGAATTTTATAGATCAAAACGCAAAAATGTGCAAATTACAACTCCAAGCCGCAGCCAAAAGCTGAATAAAATTGAGAGGACAGGTCAGAAGACCTGCCTAAATCCGACACTAGCAATGCTATAATCCAAAAAAAGACAAAAGCAAACTACCAAAATAACTCCTAAGCTCCCAACAGGAGAATCAAGATGTCCTAGAGTTGAGACCAGTATTATTGGTATTGTAGCATTATTATTCAAATATTTGGTTTTTCTTCAATTTTTTTTTTTACACAGAAAAAAAAAAAGATTTTTGAATAAGAGTTGGGAAATTTAATAGAATAGTGCAATTACAAAGCCCCTCTTAAAAGTTGCCAACCGAAAAAAGCTGCTCGTGAGCTCGCTATCGACTTCATTTAAGTTACGCTCGACTCATTTGATGATAAATGATCCAAGCTCGAACTCATTCAAAGATCGTTTAGTTAAAAAGTCGATTTCCGCTCGACTTGTGAAGGATCATTAATGCTGGAAAATAAGATTTTTTATATAATATTTTATAGTTCGCCTCGTTTATCCTCAAGTTCGACTCGTTAATTAATATTGACAAACGAGCCATGATCGAGCTTGATTACTGGTTCATTTACACTCCTACTCGTTCTCCTGCCTACAGTGGACACGTGTTGATATATATGTCCACCAGCTCATGATGTGACACGAAATTAACATATTGTATACTATGAGTATAATGTTCAAAGATTATATAATCAACACATGTCCACTCGCATAATTATTTTAACTAATCATCAATTCACATCAATTTTTTTCTACTTTTACATCAAATCAATTTTGATTATTTTATTTTAAATATTATTATAATATAAACTACACCACATCTTTCTAAATTAATCAAGTCAAACCAAAAAAATTCAAACAATGTATACTATTACCAAGGATTTATAATATATATATATATATATACATATACTAGTACAACACATGTGTATTACACGGGTGCTTGCTAATTTTTTCCTTAAAATCTAAAATTAATGAGAAAAAATAGGTGAAAATCTAAATTCTTTTATAAAAACATATATATATTATAATTTTTTAGTAAGACACTTGTTTTGTGTGACTTACTTGTGTTATATTATAATAATTTTTTTAACTTACAACATATAACTACATTAAACATAAATATATCAACTGAGTAATAATTTTATTTTTCTAATAAACTTTAATAAATATTATTATTTTTTATTATTATAAAAATGAATATAATTTATTTATTTGATATATACAATATGGATGTCAAATCGAAGATCATGAAAAGATGATTAATTTGATATATTATATATGTAAAACCGATAAGAAATACAAAAGTTATCAGCTTTTAAAATACATTTATAATTCAATAGCTAATTGAAGGAAACAAATCAAAAGTCAAGGATATTTTAGTCACTTAGTGTTTCACTATGTAAAATTATAAGGAATTAAAGGGTTATATTAGTACAAGTGATATTAAAATACCTAAGTTAGCTAAATAATATTTATGGAATGTCCGAACCTAGATTATTAATTATTAATATATCAATATTATTTGTCCAAACCTAATAACGAAGCATGATTCTTCGCCAAGTAGGATTCCGAAGCACCAAAAGCAGCCACGTAGGTTCAGCACATTCTGGAATTATATATAAAAGGGGATATATATATATATTGAAGTAAATTGTTATGTAAACATTCATCACTTCAAAATTCAATTTATTTATTATTATTAATTTTTTTTTATTTTTTTTTTGTACAATAGTTCAATTAAAAGTTATAACATTTTGCCATACTATCAGTGATACTTGGGCCAATTCATTGTATGTAAACAATTTTTACTTTCTGAATTCGTGAAATAAAGTGAATGCTTTTTACATCTTTAAAATATGAATATTTGCATCAATTTTTTTGTCTTCAAGATATTTTATTTTATTATATGAAACAAGCATTAACTGACATGGAAAAAAGAATAAGGTAAAGAAGATTGAAAAAATAAATAAATAAATAATAAAAACATCTAGAAGCAATAAATTAGTGTATAATTGACTTTTGCGGAGTTAATTGCAAATTTAAAAACATAAAACATAAAATATGAAGTTAGTAAGACCGTGACCATGAACTAACATACATAAAGACATAAAATATAAAAGACAACTGGCCTGCCTTTTTAATATGACAAGAAAATCCAACCCCCCAACATATAAATCCTAGTGGGACAACATAGGTAAATAAATGAGATAAAAAAAAAAAAAAAAAATTGATTAAGAGTAGGATATGGTTAACGGATTAATTATTAATTAATCATATAATTATATTGATTAATCATATTTTTTCTGTCAAACACTTGATTAACTTGGATATGATTATTTTTTTTTTTTCCCAAAGAGATTTATAAATAAAAAACACATAAATGTGCAAAGGTACATCCCCTAACTGAATAATACAAGTATACAACCAACTGAAAAGATGGGAGGACGGATCCAGAGACCATCCTTGAACCGACACTAGCAACGGTATAAACTCAAACCCAAGACCCACGACACGACAGACACAACAAAAACTAAGAAAAACTACAAAGCTTCCAACAGTAGAATAAGATGATCCCAAATAAATAAATACCCGCTCGCGGGCAAAACAAAAGTCAACGACTCAAACAAAAAACACAAAGTCTACCCAAATAACAAAAACAAAGGACACTAAAAGAAATTATAAAAAGAGAAGGCCTTTCACGGCAGAGAAACCGGGTCGGACCAACAGAGCAACAGTCGACTCCAAGAAAGATCCTAAGCCCGATGAACCACTTTCGAAACTGTCGAACCGCTTATACAGAAGTCGAACCCGAACCCAAAACCAAATCGAAAATCGACCCGCCCCAACCGGAGGAACCACAACAGACTCCCAACGCCGACACTGCTCGAGCTCGTCTAACACCACTAGCCGAGCTCAGAAGCCCCGGGCCCCCCTCCGTCCCCTACACCAAATAACCAAGGAAGGGAAAACGACTTGGTCCCTCAACTCCGACCGCCCCGACGCAAGACATTGCCGCCGCCGGAGTCACGCCCCACCCACTGGCCCACACCCCGACCAAACACCACCGCAGATACGGAATCGACGATCAGAGTACACAAGCCTAGCATGAACAAGCGAAGCCGGCTGTGGGGTGACACCACCGCAACCCCCCAGTAGCCACAGATTCGGAGGCGCGCGACGACAAGGATGGGC